TAGTAAACCTTAAAATGTGATGCAGATTTGAAAAAGAATAAATTTAGCTTTAGAAATAAGATATATAATTTTTGAAATAATGGATAGGTTAAAAAAATAGTTTATACACAGTTGAATAACTCAAAAGAAAATAAAGATGAAATATAAAGAAATATAAGAAAAAAATAAAGATGAAATATAAGAAAAATATTGAGACAGAAGATAATGAGAATCTGTAATTTATTGTTTAATTGGAATTCTAGAATAAGAAGAGGAACATAATGGGATAGAGGCAATACTTGAAAAGATTATCATTGAGCAGAATTGATAAAAGGTACTAATCTACAGATTCAGTAAGCTTAATACATTTCAAGAACAATTAATAAAAAGATATCCATATTTCAACACATCACTAGTAGAACTAAGGAACACTAAAGACAAGGAGAATAAAAACATCCAAAAAGAAAAATGTCAGATTACTTTCAAAGAAAATGCAGGCTGATGTCCCAACAGCAATGACAGCCAGAAGACAATGGAAATAGCATTGTGAATTGAAAGAAAATGACTCCCAATCTAGACTTCTACACCCAGAGAAAACAGTTTTAAGATTGAGGCATGTTATGGTTTGGATGTGAAGTATCCTCCAAAAGCTCACATGTGGGACAATGCCAAGAAGGTTTAGAGGAGAAATGATTGGGTTGTGAAAGTGAATTAATCCTGATAGGGACTAACTGAATGGTAACTGAAGGTGAGTAGAGTGTGGTAGGAGGAGGTGGGTCACTGGGGGCATGCCTTTGGAGTATATATTTTGTATCCTGTGAGTGGAGTCTCTATTATCTGATCATCAAGTGAGCCGCTTCCCTCTGCCACACTCTTCTGCCATGATATTCAGCTTTACCTTGAGGCCTAAGGAATGGATCCTGCTATCTATGAATTGAGACCTCTGAAACTGTGATTCCCCCAAATAAACTTTTTTCCCTCTACAATTGTTCTGCTCAGGTCTTATAGTCACAGCTACAAAAAAGCTGACTAAATCAGGGCAAAATAAAAACAGTTTTATATGAATAAGCAGCACAATCAAGTAAATAATGAAGAACTGAGTTTGGCATTAAGGGAACCACAACAAAAGAAATTCTGAAGGATATATTTTAGGCCAAAGTAAAGTGACAGAGAGTCTGGGATGTGAGATAAATCAAATGAAGAATACAGAATATGATAAAAAAATGAGAGCAAATCTAAAAAACAAACCAACAAAAACCTCCAAAAAAGTGACCATAGAAACTAATATCTTATAGAGTTAAAAATATATAATTTGAGAGAAGGGTAAATGAAATAAAAAAAGATATGAGGTCTTTGGGAAAGAGTTTTAAGCACTGACTATTAGCTTCATGCTTTGTTAAGTTTGCATGTTGTAATTCCTAGGGTAAAAACAAAAGAGTGTTTAACTTCCAAACTAAGAAGAAAAAAACTCCCCCCAGGAATAATAAAAATAATCGACTGAAAAAGAAAGTATATAAAATATTGAATTAGATAGGACATATAGAAAACATGAAATAAGATGGTAGCTATAAACCCAAGTCTATTTTAATGATTACATTTTTAATGGACTAAATGATCCAGTTAGAGGACAAAGATGGTCAAACTAGACAAGAAATCCAAACCCAACTATGAGTTTGTATCACATCTAAGACAAAAAGATACAGAGAGGCAGAAAATAACCTATTGCAGATACTAACCTAAACCAAGCTAATGTAGTCCAGTAATGACAATTAGATATGTTAGAGCAAAAAACATTGTGATGAAAAGGGACTTTCATGATGAAATCAGGATGACACATCTGGGAGATACATGATTTAATTTGTGACTAATAACATAGCTTCAAAGTAAGATAAAAACTGGAAGAACCAAAAGGAGAACCACATTTATAGTCACAAAGGGAGATTTTAACATCCTTTTCAGTAATTGGTAGAGAAGTAGGGAGAAATCATCCACAAAGAAATAACCAGAATAAATCTTTTGTGTATGGAAATTAAGAAGCACATTTGTAGTAAGGTGTGGTAGATGCCTGTAATTTCAGCTACTTGGGAGGCTGAGCCAGGAGGAGTGAAAATTTCAGGCCAAGCTGGGCACAGTGGTATACACCTATAATCCCAGCTACTCTGGAGGCGAGGAAGTAAGTCTGTAAGTTCAAGGCCAGTCTGGGTAACTTAGCAAGACCTTGTCTCCAAATAAAAATAAAAATGGATGGGGATGTAGCTCAGTGGTAGAGTGCTTGGCTAGCCTGAGTGAGGTTCAAACTCTAGTAAACCAATCTGAGGGGAGCGGGGGAGGTGTGTGTGTGGGGGGCAGGGGGGAGATGTTTATAAATAATTCGTGAGTCAAAGAAACCACATGGAAATTATAAAGTTTTTCAACTAAATGAAGACAAACACCTAACATACAAGTTTGGTCTCCAGAGAAAGTCTAGATAGAAGACAGACTTTGATTTAAACAGTCAATGAGTGGTAACTTTAGATAAGTGGATGAATTCAACCAGGGAGTACATGTAGAAAAAAAGCAATAGAACACTAAGAAGTACCATATTTTATAACATAGGCAAATAAAGAGGTAGTCCAGGGCAATAAGAAGGGATGATCAGAAAATAGCTTGGAGACTTGGGCAAGCAAGTCTTGCCAAGGCCTCCATGTTTCAAGGAGGCTTATGTTTTGGAGTGCTTTTCTCAATGTTTTCTAAATCCTCCTCTTTAACCAAGGCCAGACCTGGTCCCATATGGAATCTGGTTACCACAAGTACTTCCCCTTGAAATTTTCTAAGTCTCACTGTTGTACCTGGGACAGTATAATTTCTCCCATTTGAGATAATTGCCAACACTCTGCACCATCCTGGTTATATACCAAAAACCTTTAGAAGCTGTGGGACTTGTGCCTATGAAATTACCCTAGTACTGAAGAGTAGATCTCTCCCATTGGCTGAAGCACTATTTCTTTTACAATATGGCATACAATTGGGCTACCAGAATGGCGATAACACATTTAGGTGACTTTCTTGCATATTGTATTCCAGGAAACCTTGACTGTTGGGATTGAGTTGTTGGGGGACCTGTGCATGGATTCTTTCTGATCTGCGAGGGTATTGCTGTTCCTTATCCTATCTGTTTCCTGCAGGTTTTATATCTTTTGTCAGACCATGCCTGTTTCCTTTGAGGTATTTTTTTGTTGTTGGTACTGAGATTGAAACCAGGGCCTTGGCATACTAGGCAAGCACTCAATCACTGAACTATATCTCTAGTCCTTTTGATTTTTATTTTGAGATGATCTTGCTAAGTTGTCAAGGCTGACCTTATATTTGCAATCCTCTGCCTCAGCCTCTAGGGTTGGGATTTCAGGAGGTAGTTAGTCACTGTACCTGTGTTGGGTTAGGCCCAAAATGGCTATAGTTTTTAGGTCTCTTGCTTAAGCTTCCAGCAGGCTGTTGTTTTTTAGTGTGTAGTCAGGAGTAGGAACCAGCTATATTATGGTTAGTCAAAAACAGAAACACTCTGATTCAGCAAGTATACTCAAGGTTGTAAACTTCTGATCACACGCCCCCTTATGTAATGTGTTAGCAGTGTGGCTTCTTTGGCCCACATATAAAAAGGACCTATGGAAAATACTTGGGGTTAAAAAGGAGAGAAAAATGGAACTGGTTGGGGGCTAGATGCGAAGCTGCAGGCTATTCCCACTTCTGAATAAAACATGTCCACTATCCTACTGTGTCTTGCATCTTCTTCCACCTGCCAGGACCCTGAATCTGAGTGCCTTACATGACAATTGGTGTTGTTGTCAGGATGTTCTGCAAGGTAAGAGGGATCAACCCTGTCAGACAAGAGGGATTTGTGGCCACAGAGCAGCATGTACACTTGGTTGACAAGGTCCTATTAGCATGAACTTCTGTGTAGAGTTGGGATACAGTGAATGGGTTCCCTGTGAGCATAGAGAAGATCTGATTGTCCTGTAGGGAACAGGGACTGGGCAGAATGAAATATGAATTGAACCACAGAGCTCCTGAATCTGTTTCTTGGGTCTGAGCACCCTGTATAACAGGCTGGCCCTTTGAGACTGTGGTTCCGAAATGCTAGTGGGTTCTTCCAATGTCCTTGTTTCCAACTGATAGTGACATTGTGCTCTCCAGGTCTGGGCTTAATCTTGCTGATGGAGGAATGGATATTCCTTGCACAAAGGAAACCATTCTTCTTGTTCCACCCATGGACCTCTTGCCTGTCCTTCCTGGGTGTTGGCAAACTCTGAAAGAGATCAGTCTGGGAATGCAGTAATTATAGCTTAAAAAGCTTGAGAAGTTATGGTTGGAATATGTGCCCAATGCTTATGTTACAAAAGCCCAAATAAAAATATATGACCAGAAAATGAATTATTATTTTCCTGGGTAGAACTTGCATTTTCTGTAATCATTATTGATGTAGTTAATTCACCTTGAGAGATTCACTGGAAGACAGTATTAACAGTGGCACAATGAATGCAGCATCATAAATAATGTAATCAGCATTAAATAATGGTATTAGGGAACTGCAGAAGCAAGATCTATATAGTTAAATACAAATGGGTTCCGAAGAGTCATTGCACTGTGAATCCTAACAACATTACTACTCTTATTGCAGTGGAAGATACGAAATTTGCATGTGACAAAAAGAACATAGAATATTTCCTAGTTTAGAGATTATGTCTGTTTATTAAGAATTATTGCATATACAGATTAGACAATAAACATGTATCTCTTTTCTACTCATTTTTCTAAACCTTCACTGATAAACCACTCTACATGGGCTCATAGCTTTTGTAAATATTTTAAATTAAATTAGACAAGGCTTTGGGGGAAAAAAAAGCCCTATGGTGGAACCTGATTAAAGAAGAGCAGAAATTAGGAGAAATCAGAAACCATGAGAATATATCTTAGAAACAGAGGAGGTTCAAAGAGATCAAATTAAAATAAGGAATGTAATGATATTGGGCTAAAGAAAGAAAGAAAGAAAGAAGCTTTTCTAAGGAAATTAATGCAGAACTATTTGGGGATAAAATGTTGTATCTGCAGCTTATTTATTTAATATTTTTAACTTTTTCTTTAAAGACTTTGAGGCACTATAGAAAGATCTTACTGGTACATATGAAAAAAGATAGACATGATCATGATTGAGAGAAGACAATTTAATCAGTAAACTTTAATGCCTGTTAGCTAATCCTGAAGCTGAAGTTCTGGAAATATGACATGCTACAGAGCTGAAAGGAACAGGTAATTAGTATTCTCCTTCTTCTTCATCCTCTTCTTCAACAGAATCTATGCCAGGTTCCTCATAATCTATCTTTAGGGCAGCCATGTCCTCATGGGCCTCAGAAAACTCTCCTTCCTCAATCCCCTCACCCACATACCAGTGAACAAAAGCACATTTGGCATACATCAGATCAAACTTGTGATCCAGGAGAGCTGTAGCTTATCTTTAAACAGTCCAGCAAAAACATATACACATATATGTATATGTGTGTACCCACACAGACATACCAAGAGAGGGAGAGGGAGAGGGAGGGGGAAATAAGCATATAGAAAAGGCAGAATTTAAAGATAATTGAATTTGGATGGTATGATTAGATGCTGTATCACTGTAGTATTCTTTTAGCCATTGTACTTGCAAATTATCAAAATAAAAAGCTGGGGGAGATGGGCAAGAAGGTAAAATACAGGAGGTGTAGGTATATATTTTGTTTTTCTGGAATAAGATCCAACAAAGATGAATGTAATGATATAACAGTACAAATAGACTAGCACCAACATGGCGCTCATCATTTTCTTAGACTGTAGGAAAAAAGTTATTGGGGACTATACACAAGTAAGTAAGTATGGGTGTGGGAAGTTTAGGGAATACCAGGTGATCTTAATACTCTTCATGAAGTAAGAAAAGAAGAATAGCAATAGCTTGGTGGCATAAAGATTGTGAAGATTTGGAATCATTTTCTGTGAGATATGACAAAGGAAGCTGTTTTAGTCAGCTTTTCTTCTGCTGGGATCAAAAGACCTGATAAGAACAATTTTAGAGGAGGAAAAGTTTATTTAGGGCTCACAGTTTCAGAGGTCTCAGTCCATATGCAGCAGGCTCCATTGCTCTGGGCCCAAGTTGAGGCAGATCATTATGATGGAAGAGTGAGGTGGAAAAAAGTGGCTCAGGACATGGCACCAGAAAGTAGAGAGCACCGCTCACCATAGGCAAAATCTATATTCCAAAGGCTTGCTCCCAGTGACTTACCTCCTCTAGCCACACACTACCTGCCTATTGTTACCACCTAGTTAATCCATTCAAACAGACTAATACATTGATTAGGTTAAGGCTTTCAAACCTATTTGTTTTACCTCTAAACTTTTTTGAGATGTCTCATACATGAGATTTTGGAAGATACCACATATCCAAAACATAACAGAAGCTGACCAGGGATACTGTAAAATATTTCACAGGACACAGCTGAAGTGCTGCTTGGAGTGTGGAAACTACTCCTTTTTTTTGGCTTCTATGAGCATTCCAAGTTTATCTTCTGTCATAGAACATAATATGCCTCCCCCCTCAAAAAAAGAACATAGTCCAGTTGTTTTATCACTCTACTTCTACTAGACAATGAGTTTGAATTAAGGGGGCCTAACTTTCATTTTTGAGTTTCTATAACAAGCACAGTACCTGGTATGTAGTAAGCATTCAATGGATATTTATTAAAAAATGACTGTGCATATAACTTCTAAAAATGTAAGTTTTTATTGATTTCTTCTTACCTGCTGGGTTAACCACTTCTCTTTCATGCTCCCATAGCAACATCTATGTGTGTAACAACCATTACAAATCTTGGATCAGAAAATACCAGATCTCAGCTGAACAGCTAAGATTTTATGTTTGATTTCCAAAGGCTTTATTTTCTGATTTTAACAAATACTTTTAAAAAGCAAAATTAACAATATTACTATCTGTAATCAACATAAGATAAAGTGCTCAATAATCTAAATAAACAGTATTCTGGATAAAACCCGGGGTGGGGGGGGGATACGGTTTTACACTTTAAAAGACCCAGTACAGTCCCTTTCTTATTTACTTCTGTCAGAGTGTTCAAAATGTAAAGAATGCTCTCCATGCCACTGGAGGGAAGTTTCCAAGCAGATTTACCTTTACTTAAAAGTTGGAAGAATTGAGTTCACGCGACTTTTTATGAAAACAATTCAGGTGACCAAGTACTTTTAGTATCAGAAACTGAAGATGGAAGGCAATATTCTGAAAAACAATCAAGTCCAAGAATTGACTCTTTGGAAATCCAGCCTGACTGTTTACAGTTATATTTAGGAGTTTTCTGTTTTGCAACTATTTCTGTAGACATATTCTTAAACTTTTTCTTGACTGAAAATACATCAGTTCTTTGCTTGACTTGCTTTAGTTTCTTTCTTGGTAATTCTCTTTGATCAGGAGAATTATGGGCAGTAAAGCACTTCCTTAGACCTATGACTTGGAATCCAAGCTTGTCTTTTTTTGTGGTAGGAGGGACCCATTCCTCAATATCAGTTTCAAGACACTCAGAAATACTACAATTGCTGAACATCTCCGGGCTTCTGAATTTCTGGCTATGTGTTTTCATGTGTTTTGAGCAGCTTGGGGTGGCTGGCTGTTTGTCATTTTCAGGAGAAATACTTATTTTTTTATGGTTAGCATCAAGATCTGAATAAAAGGCAGGCAATTTTTTGAAAGCTTCATTTATCCCATTAATTTTTTGGTGGAATCTTGCAATTGGAGTTGACTGTGAACATGGAACAAAGTCTTGGCTCTCTTCAAGGTCACATTCTGAATCTGACTGAAAATGAGGTGGAGGAGAGTATGTTCTTAGATACTTAGAGGTAGATAGGCTTTGCAAGGATGATTTTTGTGAAGTTTTGCTGGAATTGTCAGAAAGTGATCTTACTGAAAAATCAGGCTCTGCAAGATGATTTTCTGTCAAGGATGTTTCCCACTGTAACAAAATATCCTGTGGTTTTTTGATAATTTCTGTTGCAATGGCCACATCTTTAGCAATATCATCAAAGAGATCAGCAGAAGCATTGTAGCTATCTTCATGATCAGAATAGCTTTGTGTTAAGTTATTATTGATATGTCCCAAGGGCATTTCTTTCAATGTATTTGTACTTGGACTATTACAAAGAGTTTCTAAAGAATATGTTAGTTTCTTACAAATTGTAAAACTGTCACCTTGATTCTTTGGCGACCTATAAAATTGTTTGTTTCCTAATATGCAAACATCAGAAACATCATTGTACTTTCTAGAACATGGAGCTGTCAACTCTTCATTCATTTCTGAAAATGACTTTTCTCCACTAAAATATTTGACACTGAGACAAAACTGGTCATTCTCTGAAGTACTGGGCCTAAGTGAAATTTCATCCTTATGTGGTAGAATCCTGATAGTCTTTTTAACTGTTGTTTCTAAATTTTTTGAAGATGGAAACAGAGTTGAAAGATAAGGGTCTGGGAAAAAATATTCTGAAATATCCCTTCCATTATTGCCTATAGAGACAACCTCTGCTGTGTTATCTGATTTTGACTCCTTTTGAATAACAGGACTTAGATTTGCTTCACAGCTGGAAAAGAAGTTATCTTTGCTACAGTGTGTTTTGACTTTAGCTTGTGATGATCTTAAAACTATAGGTGATGAATACAGAGCTTCAGCAGTTCTCTGGGGAGTCACACATAACCTGCTGTGGTCTGCAAGGAATTTACTGATGTCATTATCTACGTCATGTTTCTTTTTCCTGGCATCTGTTTGGGATATAGCAATCTCAGTTTCAATAACCGCTAGAAATTTGTTCAGGCTTTCAGAGAATGGCAGATCATCCCAAATCATAGGGTCATAATCATGGGAACTGCTAGTTCTCTCCCCAGTTCTAAATGATGAAGATGGACAATATGCAGATATTTCTTGAAGGCTAGTGGTGGTATTTACATTATGATGTGGATAACATTTAATCTCACTTTGAGAATAACTATTGTTAATTTTCACTGGACTATGGAAGGATTCTGCATTATTTGACTCAAGTGGCTCTTGTATTTTCAAAGGAAATAAATTAAAGTCAGTAACTCTAATTTCATGATGATTGCTATGAATTGTACTTGGATGATTAGCTTGTAAGCCAAGTTCCTCATCCATCTTTTCTGTTGTATTCTTTTTATCCATATATGAAATGAGGCTCCACGAACCCCGAACGGGATCACAGCAACTGCTAGAACCAGTAACATTTGCAAAGGAGATGCACTTTCTGTTTTGATGAACAGAACTAATGGCCATTGTTTGTTCTGAAGCTGACAAATCATCATTATCTGTTAGTGGTGAAACAATGGAAGTAAGTTCAAGTGATGGCTGCCAGAATCTTGAAAAATCATCTTGGCTGTGGAGCTCCGAAAAATAGGAAGTGCTTTCAGAGCCATTTATGCTGCTGAGATCACTATTTGAATGATCTAAAGCAAGTAAGTGACTATTAGGTTCCTGGAAGGCACAGTGAAGTTTCCTGAAATTGGAAGCCTGCAAAAGCTGCTGAAAGTAGTCAATGACAGTAAAGCCTGCAACATGGGGGTTTGGTAGAAGAATCTGACAAGCGACTAGTGCTCTGACTTCTCTTTTGTGGCCATGGCAATGTGGTAAGAAGTTATTAGAACCTGAACCATTTCCATATTGTTTTTCAAAATTCTGTGAAAGAAGTAAATAAATTAAAATGAAAAGAAAATGTTCCTCCTTTGATCCAAAAAATAAATAGGAATTTAAAAGGTTAAAGTAGATATAACTATAACCCTTACCCCCTCTAATTTCACTTCCTTTAGTGTTCCAGGCAGAATGGCATATACAATAGGAAATACACTTTGGATAGAGAGACTTTTCTTCAAATCTTGGTTCCAGTATTTACTAAGTAGTGTTAGAGCTTTGAGCAATTTATTTAACCTCCCTGAGCCTTAGTTTTCTCATTTTTTAAACAATAATAAAAATGGAGAATTGCTGTTTAGCATGAGTTGCTTAATAAAGGTTAGCTCCCATTATATTTGGGAGAGAAAGAAAGAGGAAGAAAAGAGAAGAACCAAACCCAAGATTTCAACAAAGTAAAGCTCTGTATCACTTGGTTTCACTTTTTTCTGTTTTTTTTTTTTCTCACTGTTCAGCTATGGACTGCTCTATTCCTTCTTTTAAAACCCTGATTCTCGTGTGGACAAAATTCTTTATTCCCTTCAGTGTACATAAGACAGTAAACTACTCCTTTAGAGTCAGTACATTCTTTTACTCCTTCTACAGGTTCTTTTATAATTACAGTTGTACCATATAACTTGAGCACATTTTGGAGAGTGAAATAAATATAAAATATCTGAGTTTTAAAAATTCATAATAAATTCCTAGTTTTAAAGTTCAGAAAGCATTTGAACTGGGCTTTTCTGACATTTGAAAGAGGAAGTTGTGACATATGATGTTTAAACAGATCTTCTATAGGCTATATTTACACAGTATAAAGTGCTTCTACAGGCCTTCAAATTTATATATAACTTCTAAAAACTATTTAGAAAATTCAAATCATTTCATTACAATCGGAATGCTAACAAAACTCTAAAAGAAAACTAGTATTCATTACCGTCACTCCAAAAATAAAGCTTTGTCCGACAAAACAAGTTTCAACAGCTTTAGTTAATAGGTTCTGAGTTACATCACTGCCCAGTGTTTCCGGGATCTTATTAGGATCCTGAATATACCTAGAAAGAGAATAAAAATTGTGAAGAAAAGAACTTGAAAATTCTAATTTGCAATAACATTAGTAGACACAATTAGTTTGAAAATGTGGCAGGAAACTTCAGTTACATACAGAAAAAGAAAGTAGCTTTATAAACTAAGCATTTTATTCCCTCTAGTTTTCTCATAACATAGAAAAAATAAAAACCCTACAAAACTCTAATGTATCCAGTGTGAATAAAACACATACTTGTCTAATCACCAGGCTCAGCAATTATACTAGGAAAAAATAGAGGCAACAGTGAGGGGTAGCAGCCTTTCCTCTTCCCTAACAATTCTGGCTATAGTCCCTGTAGTGTCCCTTTTTCTAAATCAGTTTGCCCTCAACTACAAAACATGGAATAGCTTTCTTCTGTCAAATGACTGGGGGGAGGGGAAGCAGAAGGTCAAATGTTCAATTGCTTACACAAATCTGCCATTTTCATGTTTTTTTAGATTTATACAGATGAAATTATAAAGCAAATGAAAGAAATGACAAAATTTCAACTTCTGATACAGGACTATTCCCTTAAACAGTTTCTCTTGCCTCAGGGATCCTCAAACACCTGAATGTTAACCTCAGTCTGGATCATCTTTCAGTTAGCAATGATTTTACTTTCTTATCTAAGTTTCTGTATCTTGGATTAGTTTTCTAACTTAATATTTTAGTAATTATAGCTTAGTTACCCTGAATGAAAGAAGCTTGGTATAACATTAACATGATACATACTCATGAGATAAGTATTTTCCTTTTCTCACGTGATTATCACTTAAGGAAACTGATGATCTGAGGTTAAAAGACTATCTTTTTTAAGGGTACCAGGAATTGAACTCAGGGATACTCAACCAGTGAGCCACATTCCAAGCCCTGTTTTGTATTTTATTTAGAGACAGGTCTCATTGAGTTGCTTAGTGCCTTGCTTTTGTTGAGGTTGGCTTTGAATTCGTGATCCTCCTGCCTCAGCCTCCCAAGCTGCTGGGATTACAGGTGTGCGCCACCGCGCCAGGCTATCTTTTTACTAAATGTATCTCACCTTAAAACACTTATCTTCAAATTGGCATACTAAAGGAGCAGTCAGAAAAAAGAATGCTTTAAATATTCTTACCTGTGTAAACCAGTGGCAGTCAGACCAAAAAATGTGTCTAAGCAGCTTCCAAATACAGTAATAGCAAATAATTTATTTGATTCTGCAACTTTCAAAGAGAGTTTATATCTGTAGCTGGCATTTTCAGCTTCACCAGTGGAGCCGCATTTTGGACAACTAGATCTAAAGAGTGGGGAAAAAAGTATAGAAAGTTTCATTAAATATTTTTTTATATTACAAAAACCAAGAAAAGTAAAAATTTAAATTATAGTTCTCATAGAAATACTCCTAGTAATTTACATTCTTCTTAAACTATTTATGATCAACTTGTTTTGAATTTCTCTGTTTCTAATAGCTAGCTTTGCTAATTCAAATTAAGTATCTCCAAACTGACAGAAATGCATGCCAAACATAGCAAAGTAATGAATAACTGTGTATGCATGCATGAGAGAGGATGAGACTAACATGTACTCTTTAAATATTTATACCCAAAGTACTTAGCTAATTGCATTCTTCTTACCATTATAAAAATTACTATCTTTAATCCATTGGAATATATTGAGAATTGATCAGATTACAAAAATTATATATAAAAAAAACATGTGATTTAACTTGTTTTCAAGACAATGTGCAACTATGGCCAAATACTTTTTAGTCAAAAAGTATACATAAAGTGTATTGCTGTCTGTTCTTGGGATATTATATTCCTGAAATCTGGAGTACCTTATTTGTAAAATCCAGGCCCGAGGAAAGATGAAATGAGATAAATTAAAAAAAAAAAGAGTATAGTATAAATCTTGCCAAACTAATGTATTGGTCTGCTTTCCCACTGTGGTGCTTATTGTCACTTCTACTTCGCATTTCCCTCTTTTCTAGTTTAAAATAATATAATTCTTTTTTTTTTAAAAGAGAGAGTGAGAGAGGAGAGACAGAGAGAGAGAGAGAGAGAATTTTTTTTTAATATTTATTTTTTAGTTCTCGGCGGACACAACATCTTTGTTCGTATGCAGTGCTGAGGATCGAACTCAGGCCGCACGCATGCCAGGCGCCACATCCCCAGCCCAGTATAATTCTGATTTCAATTTTTCATGCTCTTAATTTAGGAAAACTGATCCTTTAAAACATATGGTAATGGATAATACTACAACTTTGTTTTTCCTTCATGTTGCTAGTGATCTGTTTTAAAATAGACTGGCAAAGTGCAAAAAGAAAGTAATGTTAAAGATAGCTGTATAAACTTGACTGCCGTCAGCCACTAGAGGGAGTATAAAATCCTTATTTCTCAAAGTAACTTCCAAAAAGCCTTCACATAAGGTCAATTTTCAATTTTGGATATACTATCATAGATTGGTGTTAATTATTTTTTTTGTCATACCGAGGATAGATATGTACTAATCAATTCATGTAATCATACTGAAATATTCTGGACTCTTGTGCTCTATGCTGGTCATAGAATAAACAGACTCACTTGGGGGATAAAACCATTTCTCATTAATACCAACCTCTAGTGAAATGAACCGTTTCAAATATGCATTAAAAAATTTTAAAGGTTATGCATTAATAATGCATTAAGGTCTAATGAAAAATTCCTAGTAAATCTTTGAATAATTAACATAATGTTTTGCACTACAATGCATAATACCTATATTTCTTAATTAAAATACTTAACTGACAAAGATTGAATATATTCAAGGTATACAATATGATTTGAAATACATATGATTACCACAATTAAATGAACACATCCATCCTAATCCATACTGTACATTAAACCCCAGAACTTGTTCATCTTATATCTTTTCATTAATCTATTAAAAATAATAAGCCCACTACATGGTTGGTTAGAACATATTTTCATTCATAATACATAACTGTCTATTCCCAAATTTAAAAAAGTGAGAAAAGACAGGCAGTGTTTTACATTTTGCAAATCTCTTTAAAATCTTGTTTAATAAAAAGGTAGCTGGATTCACATATTCCACTTCTCTGCTGTATCTACTGTGATATCACAGGTCACCTGGCCTTTGGTAAATTCCACTGTACACATATGAGAGTGAAAAAGGCAAATAATGCCTTAGAATTACTATGAAAATAGTTCTGAACTCGAAGAAGCCTCTGAGCAGATCTATCTGAAATGACTACTGTAGTTTTAAACCTTTTTATTTGGTCCAAACTAAAATACCAAGTTTCATTATTTTCCTCGTGTACTTATATTTAGCCCAGAAGTAGAATTTATGAGATCAGTAAATCTGTTTTCTTAGCTTTGAAATCCTCTGAAAATCTGATTAAAGCAACTGACTTTTTCTCTTAGAAAAAAATTTACAATTACACAATATTTTACATATCTTGGACACTGAAGGATGCATCCACATCTACAATTTATTTACATTCCAGGTTAAGAACATCCAGACTATTCGATTATCACACAATGTCCCTTATAGATCCAGACTACAGTAAATACTACAAAGTAATAAAAAATTGTTTAAAAAAGTATACCTAAAGTGTAAAGCACTGAGTTCCATCCTCAGTACCACGTTAAAAAAAAAAAAGTATCCCTAAGGCTTCTACACACTATATCTCCCCAAAGAAAACTATGATCTATGTGTGGAACTCAATTTGACTTGCTTCATTAAGTAAATAATACTAACTTTTTTGGGTGGTTGGGGATGGTGATAAGGAGAATAGGTAGAGATAGACTAAAGGGATTATGCATCCCCTTAAACCAACAGGCAATTTGCATATTTGGGCTGGATGGATAGCTTGTATTGATAAATCCCCTCCCTTGCTCATAATTTTGGGATAGTACACAAACTCTATCAATTCCCCAACATATACAACCCCCCCCCCACACATTTATGACTGAGCTATGCCTTTCCCAGCCCTAATAGTTTTTATATTTGTATGTCTATGTTTTTATATCAGGAAATCCTTTTCCAACAAAAATATAATTTGGAACCCTAATGAGAATGAAAATGAATGTCTTATTGAAACTAAGGTAAGGGTTCCAGAGCCCAACCTACTAGTACTCAATACTATCCACCACTGCTAGTTTAATCCCTGTCTCCTTCAAGAAGCACCTCCATAGAACTTCAGGTCTCTGAAGAATAGTTTTAAAACCCATTTAATATTGGAAGAAAAAAAAGAAAAAAGAAGAAAGTTAACTCCATAAAACACAAAACACCTATTATGGCTATCAGCACTAAGAATTTGAGGTCAAATAAAATCTTTGGGAAGCAGTCTCTTCTGTTTACTATGTTGGCTGACTTCAAGTTAGAAAAAAAAAAAAGAAAAAAGAAAGAGCAGAAACAAAATTAGAAAAGAAAAAAAAGTAGCAGATATTATGGGAGTAGATTCTTTAGTTCTGTAATATTGCCAATGTAATATGTATAGAGAACAAGTAATTGTTCCATAATCATCTACATTTCCACAGGCAAGGACCAAATGCTGTGGTGTTTGTTGTAACTCAATGGTTCAGTCAGAGCTCTTTTCCCAGCTCTGGGAAAAAGAAGGGGACGTATCATTCTGGAGAAAAATTCCACTGCTAATCTGGAGGTAATATGCTGATTATGAGTGAAGACAGCAGTCAGATAGTTTAGACTTAAATGTTTCTGACTAGCTGGATGTGTGGGCAGATTGCTTAACTTTTCTAAGTTTTAGTTGTTTCCTTTTAAACTGGCATTAACAATAGCATCTACTTCAAAGTATTTTGTATTAAAAAGTCTCCAAAGCTCCTAGCACAGTGCCTGGCACATAATAAACATTCATGTATGTTATATATTATCACCAGTCTAAAGAGGTAACAATGGCATTATTATTTAACCTACATTTTGAAGATTATCATATTTTATAATTACATATTATACATATATTACTAATTATGTATCAAATGTTCTAAGCATGTTATGTATATATCTTACTTGATCCTTGTAAGAACCCTATAAGACAGCTGTAACTTTCCCAATTTTTGGGCTCAGATAATTTAAGTGACTTGCCCAAGGCCACACAGTTCAAGTGGCCAGGCTGGGATTTGAATCCAGGCAGTCTGGCTCCACAGAATCATGCTTTTAATCACCATGATATACTGCAATAGGTAATGTATACTTACAGTGGACTTTTTATAATAATGACTAATATTTTGGAGATCCTAATATGTCATGAAATATAATAGGAGATTGCTGTGCATTATCTCTATAAATAATTAGATCCACAGAAGTTAAATATTTTGCCCAAAGTCATACAATTAGTAAGTGTCAGAGCCTATCTGCTCACTTGTGTTTTCTGAAGCTTGAAATTGTTCCATTATACCATGCTGCTTCTAAGAATCCATCTTGATAAGACAAATAGCCCATGGCTTTTAGTTGTTTCAAATGATAGTTAGGAACCTGAAAATGAGTGAACCTAAGATAATGTAGGCACTATTATGCTGCCATTTATTCATTTATTTAACAAACATTTGTTGAGCATTTTCTATGAACTAAGCCCCAGGCTGGATGCCAAGGATTTAATGAAGAATCACACAAACAGGGTCTTTCTCTCAGAGCTTACATATGAGAACTTGCATGGTTAAATAAAGGAATAGTGGTAACTATGCAAGAACAACCTTAATCCTAAATGTGAGTTAGAACTGCTAATCCTTCTCCCCTTCCCTGTTTGATGTTAACTAGAGAAAAATACTAGCTAAGAATATTGCTGGCAGAAGATCAGTAAAGCAGAGGCAGGGGAACAGGGGAGGTTGGAGGGCATTATGGTTTAGATATTAAGTATCTATGGAGAGCAGTGACTTGAATCATGAGCTCTGACTGCCTCAGAATTGTGGCTGTGCTTTGCTCTGGGAACTTTCTATGCAAAGATACAGGACCAGATTGCTCAGGAATGAGGGTAAAGCTCTGCCTGCGCAAGTTATGTGCAAAGGTATGAAACAATAATAGTGTCTGACTTTGAGCTCAGACACCAGCTGCTGGAAATAGAGAATTCTGAGCATAACAAGATAACTACAATATCTTGCAAGTGCTACAACTTTCAAGCCTGTCTGCTTTGCAGATACTCTGGACAATTGGCTTCATGGGTATAGCAGGAAATAACAGGATGTTCCTAGCATTGCAATAGTAGAATAGCTACAAAAATGTTTCTAGTTCTGTAACTTTTTAGTGCACAAAGAATATAATATTAACTTTCTTATTGTGAGACCCTATATAATAAATGTGCTGAGCTAGCTCTGGGTCACCGTTCTTCCATCAGAGGTTATTGTCCCACCTGGTCCCAGCTTTCTCTCTATAAATATTTGTGTCTTTCTTAATCCTCCATTGCCCCTTGCCAATTTCTAGGGTTTGGCTGTGCAGGTCCCAGCAGGTGTCTCCCAAAAGCTCATGTATGAGACAATGTAAGAAGGTCTAGAAGTAAAATCATCAGGCCATGAGAACCATAATCCATCAGTGAATTGATTCTCCAATAGTGATTAATTTAGTGGTAACTGAAAGAAGGTAGGGTGTGGCTTGAGGAGGTGTGTCACTGGGGGCATGCCTTTGGGTTTATATTTTGTTGTGGTGAAGAGAACTCTTTCTTTGTGCTTCCTGGAATCATGCCTTGAGTTGCTTTTCTCTGTCATGGTGGTATACCTCACTAAAAACCCCAAAGAATGGAGTCAGCCATCTTTGGACTAAGACCTCTATAACCATGAGCCTCCAAATAAACTTTTCTTCCTCTAATTTTTCTAGTCAGGTCTTTTGATCATAGCAGCAAAAAAATCTGACTAAAATGAGGCAGGGAGGTAAGGGCAAGTACTGAGGAATGAAGTGAAGCAAATCAGCATCCACATATTTATAACCATATCAAAATGAATCTAATGTTGCATATAGCTAATATGAACCAAGAAAAATTAATTAAAAAAAGAATGTTGTTGACACACTATTTGTACTTATATACTACTAACTACTTACTAGATATATTAATCTTTTCTCCAGTCAGAGAGAGTATTTTTGAAGAACTCCAAACCTAACTTTTCTTTTTTAAAGATGGACACAATATCTTTATTTATATATGTGGCACTGAGGATCAAACTCAGTGCCTCACATGTGCTAGGCAAGTGCTCTACCGCTGAGCTATAATCCCAGCCCCTCCAAACCTAATTTGTCAATTCTATTTTATAAAGATCAGAGGAGGATCTTAGATTCTCAGCTATACTTGGTCTGCAGTTGAATATGATAAAGACTTTTTTTCCCAACACCATTCTAGTGCTAAATAATAAAAATCACTACAGATTGAGCATTCCTAATCTGAAAATCTGAAATACAAAATTCTCCAAAAGCTGAAATTTTTGAGTACTGACGTGGCATTCACAAAGTTCTGGATTTTGGAGCATTTTGGATTTCAGATTTTTGGATTAGGATACTCAACTAGTAAAGTCTATGTAAATATCCTCAAATCTAAAACACTCCAAAATCTGAAATACTTCAGGTTCCAAGCATTTCAGATAAAGGACACTTAACATGTATAACATAGTGTCTATTTTCAAGGTTTTTACATATATGTATTAAATAATTTGAGAGTCATACAAAAACAAACAAAAAACCTTTTACTTAATACCCAGGGATATTCAAAGAAGTAGGCTAAGATTTTATACCAGGATTGTGACTTGCTTCCTGAGAAGTTATTTTTTTTTCCCCCTGAGATAGGTACTTAGTAGAGACTTCACAGTGACTTGAAATTTCTCTCTAGAAAGTGGATTACTGGCCAGTTCTATTCTGGGATTTATAGCAGAACCAAACTCTGAGAATCACTGAGAGAATCTAATGTCCTCATATGATGAATTTAGTTTTTATTTGTCCTTGCACCATAGAAGAAGGTTTATATTGTGTACTGATATATTTCCTCTCTCATGCTTAGAGGCTTTATTTTTACCTTTTGGAGACAAAGATTATCCTAGAGAAGCACATTTGACATGATGGATATATAAAACTCGAATTCTGAAGAGCAAGTACTGAGCCAAGAAGAAATTTTCTTCTTTTATTCATGCGTTCACACTGTGGCCTACAAAACAAAATAGCCACAGGGATGAAGACAGTTATTCCTTGGTTTCATTATTTTCTTAGGCACATGACAATCTCTTTAAGAATAAAGTAGTGTGTGTGGTATCGATATAAGGGAATGGAAGAAAAAAGGTCACACAAAAAAATGCATTATTTTTAAAACCTGATTCCTTGACAGTGCAACAAATGATGGAATATGGCATCTTCCTTTCTATGTCCTCCAAAATCCAGATCCAGATGGTCCAGATGGCATCCACCAGTGGGCTAAGGGAAATAAAATAGGGCAAATGTTTATCCTGAAAATGCTGCTTAAAATCTTGCTATTTAGAATGAAGCTTCAAATCCTCACAACAGTCAGATTGTCTAGCCCTTGCCCAACTCCCTGAGCTCACTTTGTATCATTCTCCTCCTTGATCACTGCATTTCAAGCCATGCTGACCTGCTTTCTGTTCCTCATATATACAAAACAATTTGACTTCTCGAGCTTTTGTGCTTATTGTTCTCTGTCTAGAATGTTCTTCCATAGGACTTAGCATAGCTAGCTCCTATGCTTCAACTTTAATGTGATCCCCTCTGGAGCCCTACCTTATATCAAGTAGGCACTGCCCACTGCCTCCCTTAGTTTCCATCCTTCCTTTAAAAAAACAATTTTTTTTTTAAGTTATAGATGGATACAATTTCTTTATTTTTATTTATTTATTTTTATGTGGTGCTGAGGATAGAACCCAGGGCCTCACTTGTGCGAGGCAAGCACTCTACCACTGAGCTACAATCCCAGCCTGATATCATATTATCCTTCAAAGTACCAATCATGTTCTATAATTATTGTATATATGCATTTACTTACTTTTGTTCTACCTCCCACTAATCTGAAAGTTAAAGTCAGGTATCTAATCTCCCTAATGCCTTTTTTTCTTGATTTTCTTCCTTGATATTTATGTGCTAGTAGATTATACAAAAAAATAGTCTGAGTTGCGTTCCTTGCCTCTTGCCCCAATGGGATGTTTCCTATTTCTGTGCCTTTGTGTTTTTTACTCTTCCCTCTACCTTAAACCTAAAATGGTCTTTCATTTTCCTGTTTCATGCTACTTTTTGAGGTTCTTCTCAGTGGTTTTCTTCTCCAGGAAGCTTTCCTAGATTAAGAGATCCTACTTTATATATATATATATCACTCACTACATCACAGTAAATTGATCTGTTTCATATGTTCTTTTCCAGAACCATAAGGATCATCTTTTTAGATATCTAATACCAAGTTCAAAAATTGTCAATGAATTTTAGCTATTAACATTCTTTTAATTCTCAGCTTTCCTATTCCTCAGTGACATATACCATTTAAATATAAAATAAAAATTTTCCAAATTATAAATTATAAAAAATCCTATATACATATTAAATTATAAGAAATTATTAAAAATCATATATATTAGATACCCTATTTGTATGTGAAATATACACAATAGTTTTACATTATTGTACCTTAGTATTTCTTTTAATTATTATTTAAATTTACTGTCACTTCTAATTTTTAAAAAAATTGTGGCCATATTGTGACAATAGAATATTTTCTTTAGAGCTTTACAACAGAATTTTATATTGTGCCACCCCTATGTGGATATTTACCAGACAATATTCTTATACAATTGCTATCAAATCCAAACTTCAGGAAATGGATTAAACTTATTAAGACACAGTGTTAAGGGCAGTGGAGTTAAACAATTAGAAATAACAATCTCTGTCCTAAAAAGTTTACTATATAATTAGGCAGATGATTTGCCAATACATGCAAAACTTAAATAAACATGAAATTTTGGGATTAACTTCTAAATTCATTATATAAGCACCAACTGTTACATTTTTTTAGAGAAAAGTTGGTTAAATTGTCATTTATTGTCCTCTAGTGGATGAAATAAGTATGTCCATAAAAACCCATAAATTATTGGCAAAATTTGACTAAAGTGAAAAAGGTCAATTCATTATTTTTACTATTTGTGTTTCATCTGGCAAACCACAGCAATGGAAAATCTTCCCATTCATTGTATGGTGGACAGTAATAAAATACTGTTTAGGGAGTTAACTGTTAGTTATTTTCTTATTTCCATCATGTTATTTGTCACTTAGTTTCTATCTTTACTGTCAGCCTTGCAGTATGGTGAATGCATATTTGATAGATAACTGAACGAAGTGACAGAAATGAAAGTATTAAAGTTAAGAAAACATTATGATAGACTTGGGAACAATTTCATATGTGGTATATCCTATAATTTATCTTTTTTCTCAATTTTATTGGGAAGAATGATATAGTAGTACATTTCTCTCAGCTCCATCACAGTCAGCAAACCATTTTCCAACTTAGTAAGCTCAATATATTTACTTATCAGTTATTTGTTGTGAAGGTGGTAAATGCCAACTGTTGATAGCATTTGTGAGGGACAAACAGCTTTCCTAGTTACTAGTTAGTTATAGTCTAGGACAAGAGACAAACAGCTTTACAGTGTGCACAGTACTTTTATCTCATTATTTGATCTAATCAGAGAATTTAAGTAGCTAATTAAAGATCAGGATTCAGGTGGAATCAGATCTGGAATTCACATCTCTGACAATTAATGCAGCAGTCTTTCTAGTTCACTGTACTGTGTGCTCAAGCATCACACTTAACTATTTGTTTTAAGGCTGCCCCAAAGATAAAGTTATCCCTTTAGAAAACTAGTTCCCAGTTCTAATGATACAAAGACTAATTGTTCTTCCCTTCATTTCTCCCCAAATAGCTGGAAAGGGGTGTGGCTTAGTGTAGATCATTTGCCTAGAGTGCCTGATGCCCTAGGTTTGATTCCTATACTAAAAAACAAAAGAAACCAAAAAACATAATAAATCAGAAACTGTTCATGCTTTGCAAGAAAACCTTTGTCACCTTCTTCCTCTCAGATTTCCCCTTTTACAAGTCAAGATGCCTCATTATGGGAAGGGTGGCTGCTTAGAATATTTTTCTTAACACTATCTAATGATCTTTTTCAAGGGCATATACTATGTTTTAATTTTTAAAAGAAGTCATAACAATTCTCTAAGAAATATTTTATGGACATTAACATGAAGATTCTAGAAAGGGAAGACAGGAGATCAACAATAAAATACACAAAAAGTAAAGAAACAAAACCTCCAGTGAAAAGTAAAATATTTTTAAAAACACTAACCAGGAAAATCTTAAGAAGTACAATATAGTGTGTCCATTCATTCTACCATTTATAACATTTATAACAGACATAACAGGGATGGAGAGGGGACAGAGTTGGAGACAGAAAACACAAGCTCTTTTGTTCAAGGAATTTAAAATCTATTTGCTCAATGGATAACTATCAATGAAATGATACAAAGGTAAAAACAATATATGCAAGTTTCGGACTTCCATACTGCAACTGCTTACCTGAGAGCCAACTGTGTTTGGATATATCACAGACATCTCAAAGTTTAATAGGTAACAACTGAATTTTTAATTTTCTTCTCAAACCTCTTTCCATGAAATTTTTTCAATCTCAGTAAATGGTAGTACTTTCTAACAAGCCAGTAAGGCCAGATAGCTAGGAGTAATCTTTCATTCTTTTCCTCATGTGCCAAATCAAACCATCAGTAGTCTTAGAGTCTATTTCCATATTAGAAATCATTGTTCACTTCCACCATGTATTCTGCCACCACCTTAATCCAAACCACCATCATCTCCTGCTTACGATGCTGCATTAGTCATCTAACTGCATTATCTGCTTTCTACCCAATCTTCCAGACTCATTTTATTCAAAAGTCCTTCCTGAATAAGTTCCAGCAACACAGATCTTTTCTTAGGTTCCTGAACACAAAAATATCAAGTTTTTTTTTTTTTTTTTTTTTGCCACAGGGCTGTTGTGTATCTTATTCATTTCATTTGTAATCTTCCTCTCTTTCAAGGCTAGATAATTCTCATCTTTAAGGTCTCCAATGAAATATCAACTCCTTAGAAAGGACTTCCCAGACCATTTTAAAACCCATAGTTCCCCTGTTATTTCCTTTCTTAAATCCATGGATAAAAGGTATATTTAATTGGGAAGGAATCCATCCTGTTCACCATTGTAACCCAATATCTAGCAGTTCTTGGCACAGAGGGAGATAGATAAAACTATCTTCAGCATGAGAAAATAATGACTGGGCACTCTGTGATCCAGTTTTGCAGAGTTAGGAAAGCCTGCCTGCCTTAAAAAAAAAAAAAAAAAGGCCTTGCAAACTGAGAAATAAGAAATGAGTAAGAACATGCCAGTTGGGGATGGGTTTAGGTTTGGAAATAAGAGGGAGGGCTGTGCCTCTGATGAACATATGACACTCCAGGATTAGGGAGTGGCTCAGTGATAGCACTTGCCTAGGCTGGATGAAGCCCTGGGCTTGATATCCAACAACAGTGAAAATAAATAAATAAAAGCATTTTGTATGGCTGGTGCCTAGGGCCAGAGTTGGAAAATCACTGGGGCTGGAGAGGGAGACAACGATAAAACAGGAAGGGGCTTGTAATCTATGTTAAGGAATACAAAAACATCAAAGAGTTTGATACTTAAGGAGTTTGGATTTAAAACTGCAGGCAAATAGGAGCGGCAGAAAGGTTTTAAATGGTCAAACTTGCAGCTCTCCTGCTCCTGGCTTTCCTGGCACCCGGGATCTCTGTAGCCCTCTGGCGGGCATTAAGGTCTGGCAATGTGGAGACTGGATTAAAAGGTACCAAGACTGAACGCAAAAGAAATACTTGGGAGATTATTGTTACAACTACAGAGCATAGGGGTCAACCCAAATACCAGTGAATGTGGAGAAAAGTACAGAGATTTGAGATATTCGTGAAGCTGTTATTATTGGCTGGATGTGAGAGATAAGGAAGAAATCTAGAAAACTTCTAAAAAGCCTAGACTTTGTCTCGGTTATCTCCAGTTTGAGCTCACCCTGTTCGACAGCCCAGTGTTCTCAACAACGTACACATAGTGATCCCAACGGCACGGTCTAAAGTCACTGACCCTTTTACTCTTGTACTGTCAAAGCTTCGCTCTACAGACAGGACTCCAGAAAAACAAACAACATAGAATGCCTCCTGGTCTCATCGACGATGACTCTAAGAGTCTCGGGAGACCTAGGAGTGCTTCCCCAAGAACCTCTTTTCCAGCTCCTCACCTAAGTCAAGACTGGGAGACAGCCAGGGCGACGCCGAAAGGCCGCAGTCCAGACAGACCCAGCAACTCGCCAAACACCTTCTACTCGAATCTCCCGCGTTCCCTTCCGCCGGAAGTGACGTTTGAGCAGTGGTTCCTCAGAGCCAATCAGAAAAGGCTCCGCCGAGGGTCACGATTAACCGCGAAATCCTGGGGGCATTTGGAAGCGACCATTTTTTGTCAAACTGGGGTAGAGACAAGGTTTGAAGAATGCTCTACCCCGGCTGGTGAAGTAGTAGTACAGCCTGCAAAATTAGCTTCCTGGGAGACTGAACTAGCTTGTCGTAGGGACGCCGGAAAGGGGAGGGAGTGGGTGGGAGAACCCTAGGACTGGGGTCTGGCCGGGTGAGGAAGAGGGAATTGAAGCGGAGTGGATGGGGTTGGCGCTGCCGGGAAGACAGGAGGGGGCGCTGTTCGGAAGCGTAGCAGGACTTCAGGCGGAGGAAGGGAGGCGACAGCGGCGGGAGGCACTGCCTGGAGTGGGTTTCCTGGAGCTGAGAGAAGAAAGGGGGCGTAACCAGCAAGGAGGGACCGAAACCTGGCTCGCTAAGGCATGGGGTTGCGGACTATACGGAGGTTTGGGGAGACCCTAGAACAGAGGGTCCCGTTAGGCGGGCATAATGAAGGTGAGATGCTAGGAGCGCAGTCTTTGGAGTACTGAGCGGTCCGAAGCAGTGCTTTACTTCCTACTACCTGAGTGACCCAGTTTCTTCATCTATGAGTGGGAATAAGAGTCGTACACTAGACAAGGAATTGCTGTGGTGGTTGAGTTAGATGCGTGCCATCATGTCTAGTGATATACTGGCATGCGGTGAGCCGTCCGTAAGTTGTTATGGTAGCTATCTTTAACATTAGTGGGATTTGCGGAGAAGGACAGGGAGTGTTGCAGTGGAACTAAGGTGGCCGGGGCAGGCTTTGGCGGTGACAATAAAGGCAGAGGTTACAGCGTGACCTGGAGAAGAGGTGGGCTTGGGGGGCACTGCAGATTGGGATGGGGTACAGACCCTGGCCTGATAAGGGTGGTGTGACCTCAGTGAAGGTAGGCTCCAAGGAGAGGATGGCACGAGAGGGAAGTGGGGTGGAGGCGGCGCCCTCGGGGACAAGTGGTGGCGAGGCTGAGAAGCTGGCAGGCTTTAGGTTTCCCGGGGGAGGAGCCGGTCTGCAGCGGGCGGAGCTGCGGGCTGGGGCCGGGCTTAGGCTAAGCGCGGCTGCCCGTGTCCCTCTCGCCTTCACACCCGCGCTGCTGCCGCCAACCTGAGCCATGGGTTACCCAGCCCTCCTGCTCTCGCTCCTGGTTTTCTTGGCACCCGGGACCTGTATAGACCCCCGGCGGGTACTGAGGACCCTCAGCAGCCTGCACTTGCCAACCAACCCCGCATCCCGGTCCTCTGTAGCCAAGAATTACTCAGTTTTTTATTTCCAACAGAAGGTAAGGGGGTGGGAGGGGGCGGGGAAGCTTCGAGTTCCCGAGTCCCAACCGCTGGGACCTCGGTCCTGTAGAGTCCGGGCATTGGAGCTCACTCTGAACTTCAGACTCCCTGATACCTAGGACTGTCCAGTCTTTGGTTTACACATTCCAGAGGATGGCCTCAAGTCCCCTAATTTAAAATTTCTCCTCCCACTACCAATAATTTAATACCATTCCTGGCATCCTTATTTTTCTGTCTTTGAAACAACGGAAACTTATTCTCTCACAGTCTGAAGTCAAAGTGCACCATCCTTTTCATTCAGTCTCTCTGTAATTGGCCACAGCAGTCACTTAAATTCCCCTAGCTCTTAGAGAGTTCCTCAATCTAAACTCCTTTGACTTCTTTTTATTTATTTATTTATTTATTTATTTATTTATTTATTTATTTATTTATTTTCCTTTGACTTCTAAATTCAAATTATTGAATGCCAACCCTGGTCCTTAGTCTTTGGTGACTGTCATCTTTTGCCCCAAGGCAGTCCCTAAATACAAGTTCTAATGTCTGTACCTATTAGATAATATAGAATATTAATGCAATCTAAAATGATAGCTTGTCATTTCAGAATTATCTCAAAGATGATTTTGTGGGCCTTTCATTAAGAGTTTTTGGCTGTCCCTGTTCCCTATCAGACTGAACACATGGCCTGTGCCTGTAAAAGAAGTTATAGGCATATGGCAAGATTTGAGGTGGGTGTTGGGATCACTGACTCTGATCTGTGACTTGAGTTTACAGTTCTAAGACAGGATTTATAAGTGCTTTTATGGTTGGCTTATGGCATTTGGTATTACCCCACAAGTCTAAATGGAAAAGTACATCTTATGTGAAATGACAGGCAATTCTAATGATTCTACATTTCTAGGAGCCTAAAGATAGGGATTAGAAGGATGTAAGGGTCTGATCTTGACATTAGGAGTCAGACCAGGATTCTACCCTGGTAGCTCTATGATCTTGGGCAGGTTACAGTTTGTTGCTGAACTTATTTTCTTGATTTTCTGGGGTTATGGTAATGGTTAAATGGGAGCAGATGACATATCCCTAGCAGAGTAGCTAGTCTGAAGCAGGCACTTAATAAATGTATGGTTACTGACCCATCTGAATTGCATAGGAATTTAAAATAAAGGAATGGCATAAATTTGTGGAATAATTTATAAGCAAAAATTTTTAACACAGAAAATTGAATTTGGATTTAGGAAGAGAAAGTGTTTTAATTTTAGCAGAGATACCAGGAAACAAGAGTGTTTTTCTTTGGAAACGCCTTTAACTCTCTCTGACGAAGCTTCCTCATTTGCAAATTGACAAGGACCACTGTGTCTAATACTTTACTGAGGAAAGTTAAGAGCTCCTTGGAGGAACTAGCTTAGAGGGAAACTAGTTGGGTGAAGCTTGTCATTTCAGGACATGTAGTGGAAGCCATGTTAGGTTCTCCAGGGTGGCCTCCCCTGACCTCTTTTTATCTGGAGCTCTCTGTTTTATGTGTTTCATTAACATTATCACTCATGATAATGTTCACTCATCTTCAATTGGCTAATCCCCCCACATTTCAAGCACCTGGTCATGTCACTCACTAGTTCGATCCCAGCACAGGGCTCTTTACCCAGCCAACCTTTGCTCACTAGTTTATATTTAGTTTATACATTAGGGCAAAGATCCCACACATGTATTTATTACCATAATAATAAGTATCCTTATATCAACTCCAATTGAGCTTTTTATTTTTGAGAAAAAAATTCCATACATATTTATTGTGTAATTGCACGTATAATAGTTGTCAATTTCAGGATCATAGATTTTTATATGGGACTGTGTAAATTCAACTTCAGGTTTTTTTAGTAGAGCACATATACTTTTATATCTTTTAATAATAAACGTATAAGCCTCAATTTTCATTTAGGGTGTAACTTTTTCAAACTTTATAATGTTTCCTTTATCTATAATTATCTCATCTAGGTGACCATGCTAGTCCCAGAAGTCCTTATATACACATAAAGGATGTGGTTTTATGGAATGGTCTCTTAAAAAGGCTTAGCCAATAGCTTTGTTTCTCTCCTCCTTAGAAATCCTTCATATCTTTGAATGCTTGCAGGATAAAGACCAAATTCCTTGGCATGGATTCCATTGTTTCTCACCACATAACTTCTCTGGCCTTTCCAGCTTTCTGTCCTGCCATAGTCTCCTGCTTCTACTTGCAAACACATTTACTCTTTCAGTAACATAGAACACAGGCTCCAGTGAATTTTACTGTTTAGAAATTCTGTCTGGAATTCCACACTTCTTTTCCACTAGTTAAACTTATCCTTCTATCCCAGAGGAAATGTTATCTTTTCTGTCAAACCATGACTTCTTTAGGACAGTTTAGATCATCTTATTTTAATCCTGCACACTTATTATTTTATACATGTTCCTTCCTACTAGAGAGCACTCTTCAGGACCTATCAAAAGTGTAAACTTTTTCTGTTTCTGGTTTAGGAGGAGTGTTTGGGGAAGGGGCAGAGATGCCTTGTTTAGTAACAAAGGTGCCAAGAAGAGTCCCTTAAACAGCCCAAGCTGCAGACCAAGGAGATGGATGAGGAGGCTTTCAAGCAGAAATAAAAAGAGGAAATGAAGAAATTCGAGGAGATAAAACCATTGAAAGTTGGGGTGGAGGTGGGGGATCTGGCCACAGATGGACTTAATAAATCTAGCAAGATAATGATGACACTTGAATCCATTCCTAGATATATGGATTCTTTGCTATAATATCTTTTGCCACCTATGGCTAAAATGAGTTGTTTTCTTGGAGTTTTGTGTACATTTAAGAGTAAACTTTTATGCTGGAAGTGGTGGTGCATGCCTGTAATCCCAGGGACTCAGGAGGCTGAGGCAGGAGGCACAAATTTGAGGGCAGCCTGGGCAACTTAGACCCTGTCTAAAAATAAAAAATAAAAAAGAGCTGGGGATGTAGATCAGTGGTAGAGCACCCTTGAGTTTAATCCCTAGTACTGGGGAGGGGGGAGAATAAACTTTTGTTTAAAAAAAAAAGTACATCTATTTATAAAGCACAAAATAATTTTTAAGTTAACATAGTATACTGTCATGTGTAACTAATTAAAACAAATAAAAAAGTTAACAGTAATAATTAAGGGAGTGAATGACTGACTAAAGAGAGCATAAACAAATGTATAACCACAAACAATTTTTATTTTTACATCTTACTCTTCCATTTTTTTGCTAATTATTTTTCCTTCTTTTCCAAAGTCTTCAAATGTTGATTGAATAGGAATATTTAATTTCTTTTACCTGAAATAACTGAATCAGGAGATCAGAGGAATGACATGCCCATATCACTTAGGTACATGATGGCTCTGGGTATGTGTGTAATGCCATTGTCATGAAGGACTCTGGGATTCTTGACTTGTCATTACAGTTTTTACCACTATTGATTTCTTCTCCCATCCAAACCTCTCAGGCTATAATATGAGTTCTGAGGTCATTTCACTATGTAATGTGGAATGGATCCTGTCAGTCTTTTTCCTCAGTAGCAAAATAGGGAACAAAATTTACTGTATTAATTTTGGTTTCTTATAATTGTTTGTGTGTGTGTGTGTGTGTGTGTGTG